GGAGTTTTTCATCTACCAGTCTTTGAATAAAGTAAATTTTAAACTGTGATTTTGGAAATTGGTGAAATTCTTGATGTTTTTTTGGTTTCCATAATTTTTTTATGTAAAGATTTTGTATTTCATGTCCTAGTTCGGAACAGTTCATCAAATTAGGTCATGCCATGTCATCAAATAGTGAACCTATTCCCCTCTTTTGTATTTGCTATTTTTTTATTTTTTTTTATATATATAGGTAACCAATTAGGTATAATACAGCCTTTCTGCTTTAAAATGGACCTAAGCAAATGACTGAAGCAGAAGTTTTTTTTTCTCGTTTTCTTTTTAAAGCTGTAATGTCTCACTGTAATTTGGGGCTATAGCCTATGCTGAACTATGCTTAGTTGCAGCTTCATGGTGATTTAGATTTTTATTTATTCTACTCACTTTAAAGTGTGTAGCTTAGGTCCGCTTTAAGCAATTTTCTTCTTGTATGTGATGGTGTATATATCTATCTGGCATATCTATGTGAACAATCCACTTTTATGGCCCTGTGTCAGAAGAATACTGTAGTGTTTTTGTTTTTATATACAAGTTGAGCAATTAATGTGAATTCATCAATAGTGTGTATGATATTTGAGATATCATACACACTATTGATGAATTCACATTCATTGCTCAACTTTGAAGGGTATATTTGAAGAGTAGTAAATGTGACAATTATTAAATATTTGCTGCAGGTTAATCAGTCAGTAATTTAAATGTATTTTCACCCTTGCAGTCAAGTTTGAGAACCCCCCCCACTATATGTTTCAGTGTTGCCATTTACATTCATGCATTTAAGTTGTGAATGGAAACGTAACGAATATAAAGTAGGTATTTGGCTGCAAAAGTGGAAATACCCTTTAAAAAGTAGTGTTCACTTGGATTGAATGTTGGTAAATGTTACATTCACAGCTTAAAAAAATAAATATACTGCTTCATTTAAAAGCTCTTTAAAAAAAAAAAATAATAATTGTTTGTTTTTAATTTACTCAAGTCCCACTTTCTCTGTGTATGGCCATTCTCTAGTTATGCAGACATGTAAATACCAAAATATTTCCCCAAGTATTACTAAGAGGGAAGAGGAATTTACTCTTTTAGAAAGTATCAGTCTTCTGCACTGACACACTGGGCATTCAAGATTATTCTTTTGGTGAATGGTAACAATCATTTTTTAAGACTAATAGCTTAAAAGGGAATCACACTTTAAAATGTTAAATATATTTATATTGATAGTTACAATACTTTTTTAGTGTCCATGCTTTGTATATTTTAAGAGTATCAGCATTTAGTACACCGTCTGTCAGTTAAAAAAAAAGAAAGAAAAATTGTTGTACTAAACTGTCCCATGCACCAAAACTGTAAACAGTGACAATATCTCCTGCGATTTTGTACACATTGTAATTTTCTGTAATGTTCGTTACAATTTGCTGTAAAACTTTCCTTCTAAGATTATGAATTGTATTGATATAGCATATCTGTTCTGATAAGTTGAGAGGCTGTTAGTCAGTATGCTGTATTTAAGGCTGGACACTTTGTGTGGTTACATAGATTCATAGTTCTTACATTTTGTTAAAAAAAAAAAAAAAAAGCATTTCCCTGAAAGAACCTCAATTTTGCTAGTGGGAAAACCTTTACGGGTCTTGTTACATAGACCAAACAATGGGTCCAGTTCCTGCTATCGGATACAATCATTTAGCAGTTCTAAATGGTCATCATTTTTTTCAGTACAATGTCCTAGTAAGTTAATACTTTTTGTTTTTGACTGCCTCATTGGCTGAAGTAAGCCCTGCAGTATTGTTTTTTTTTGTATATACTGTTGGCTCATCCCTTGTACGTTTTATATTATCCCTCCTCTACTAGAGGCATTTAGCAGCACTTGCTCCTTTCAAAGTATAGTAGCCATGCATTTTAAATTTTTACTTTTTAGAGTGGTAATTTTGATTTCCATTAATCTTTATTAGTTGCTTATTTTGAGATGACCATACTCACTGAAGCAATTTGTTATTTGTTTGGGGGTTGTATCTGTACACTGAATTGGTAATGTCATCAAGAACTTTGAATTGTAAATGTTTTAATAATTAAAAAAAAATACTGCCCATTTGCCTAAAATTCTTACAGAAATCGGTGTACAATTTTGCTAGGTATATTTTTTTTTTTGAATGGAGTATCAGGGCAGAAATCTCCCGCTGTCACTTTGGAGAGAATGTAGGCTTAGGAAATGCTTCTGATGGCTATTTTTCTCTCTGTAAATAAATTGACAATTGCATATTGTATACTTTAGTAACTGTTGCATTGTCCAATTTTTTTTGTATATTTTGCTTAGTTCTGTATCTTAGCATCTGTATACATGGGTTGTATGTCAAAATATATATTTTTTAATGTAATGATATATCATTATTTTAAAGAAGGTTGCATCATAACACCCTGTTGGACTCATGCTTGTCATGGGTGGTGTTATGGATCTTAAACTGAATTTATAGTAACATTAAAAGATATCTTATATGAACTGATAAATCTTATTTTCCTGAATGTCATTCAGGCTTGGGTTTAGTCACAAATTCCTTTTTATACCCATCTTACTTTACTCACATGTTTTTAAATTGTGTAAAAGTTTTATTAATTTGGTATATTAGGCATTTCTCAATACTTTTTAAAATATCTTTGTTTAGTAGCTAACAGACCATTTTGTTAAAAAAAAAAAATACCCTCCCCAATACCGACAGCCAACATAGGGCACTGCAGCTGTCACAGCAGCTCTATACCATGAGCTGAGCGATAATTTAACTGCTGATCACTCAGTTCACGATCTCTTCCCTGCAGAGAGTAATGACTCTTAGTCACTGCTCCCCACAAAGATTACCCCCGATCCCCCTCTGTTCCTCCAGCACTCATTGGAGGGACAGACAGATGGTGTGAGCACAGCTGGCTCTAGAGAGACAGAGCCAGCTGTCAGTCAAGCAGCAGACTGGAAACCAACTATATTTTTGCCATCCTTCCCCGCTGTAGTGTGGCTCTGCACTGTGAACAGATAGCAGGCAGTAGCCCGCTAGATTCTGCTTTTGGGTCACAGGAGCACATTAGTAAATGTACTCCTGTGATCCAGAATAGAAGTAAAACCAAAAACTAAAGGTTTGGCTTTACTACTTTTGATCACTATCAAAACACTAGAGATGTAGTGTTCATTTTTAGATTATCTTTATCACTAGAATTTACTGTGCCTTTTTTAACCTTACTAATGTTGTGCTAAATGTTTATTGGAAACAGACTGTTATTTAAAAGACAGCTTTTTATTGAAATTGTTGCAGGCTATGCATTGTGGTAAATTACTAAAGGAGTAGAGACTGTTCACTTCGCAAAGTAAAGCTCCCTTTGAGTCAAGCTGGCCATACACTGGTTGAAATTCAACCACATGTGGCCCAGTCGACTCGCCTCCATTCAACAAAGTTGATTTTTTAAAAGACTTTTGTTGAAGTAGCTGGTGCAAAAAAATTCTCAGCTAGTCACTGTTTGGGTATTCTCACAGAGGCACACTCAGAATACAAACGTCAAAATGGAGGAATTTCCCCATCCACGCTATTGAAGTGGATGGAGGAATCAAGTGTGTTTTCTCGTTAAGGCCTCAGGCTGTAAGTGTGTGGCCAGCCTTTGTAAATAAGGTGAAGCTGTGTATACTTGAATAACTAGTCATGCAAGGAATTACAAAAAATAATGTAAAAAAAATCTTTTTGAAGCTTTTCCTCATTTACTTAGAGCACGAAACAGTTACTTTGTTTAGTGAACAGTCATCATTCCTCCCGAAAATCAACCTCATAAGTCTTTAGAGTAAAGTAGATTTTTTTTAAATATGTACTTGCTCCAGTTTAATTTTGTAGTATTTAATGGATTGAAAATGTCTTCAACTACTGTTAGCATGTTTTTGTTGGTTAGAATATGTAATATGCTTTGCAAAACTTTAAATTGTACATTTTCTCTAAGCAATATTGCACATCCTAATATACATATGTATATTGTCTGATTTTAAATGCTTGTGAACAGCCTGTGAGTATTACACAGGTTTGCCTCCATGTTTGGTGGTTTTCGTTAGGGATGCACCAATACCAAGTATTTGGGCGAGTACTCGTACTCGCCCAAATGCTCCTGATGCCTATCCCAAACTTCCGGTATCAGGAAGCCGTTCGGCGCGTCGTTACATGCTTCCCGGCTTCCTGTTGGCCCGGGAAGCCATCTCCATGCGCTCTCGTCACGAGGGAGCATGGAGCTGGTCTCCCGGCCAATCGGGAAGCCGGGGGGCAGGTAATGACTCGCCCCCGGCTTCCTGATTGGCTGAGAAGCTGGCTCCATGCTCCCTCTTCACTTGGTGACGAAGGAGCATGGAGCCGGCTTCCCGACCAATCGGGAAGCTGGGTGCCCTGTAACGACTTGCCTTCCTGATTGGTCAGCAAACTAGCCAATCAGGAAGCCAGGCGGTGAGTCATTACACGCCCGGCTTCGTGATTGGCCAGAAAGCCGGTTCCATGCTTCCTAGTCACCTGGAGACTGCTTCCTGGCTTGCTGGGAATTCAATGGGCGAGTCATTACACGCTGCCCAGCTTCCTTTAATGGGACTTCCGGTATCGGCGTGTACCGAAAAAAAATATCAGTACTCAATATAGAAAAACGGTATAGGTGTGTCCCTAGTTTTCGTGCACATAACAAGAATTTGCCTGGATATATGGATATAAGACATCTAAAAAATCTCATTGGTTATTATTTTATGTAAAATGATTTCTCACAATTAAACTGTTTTTTATATGCATGTACATAAGATGCATTAGCCATTTTTGCTGCATGTGATGTCTTGGTTCTCTGGTAAAATGGTGCATAATCTTTAGTATGTTGTATTGATCACTTACAAAATGTTTGTACTGTTATCAGAGATTTTGTATGCTATGCTATGTACTGTAGCAAAAATCTACATCACAAATCTTAAAACGTTACAGCTGACAGAAGAGGAACATCTTTAAAGATCACATGTTCACCTAATGGAAAAGAAGATACTTGGCCATCAGTTTGCTTCATATGATTCAACAGCTCAAAGTTACGGATAAAAATGAGCAGATCTAGATGTGAATAAAGCAATTCTGCAAACATGGTAACCAGTAGATCTACTTTTATTTTTTATGTTGCTTAAATGTTTTATTTGAAGGAAACCTGTGTGACATAAACCTTATTAGTTCTTGCAATTTGGGTTTATACATTATATTTACAATTTATAATGTACAAGCAGTTGGAAAGTTCAGCTCATTCTTGTTTTTATAGTTGTTTGTTCCTGTTAAAATGTTCTAAAAATGTCTGTAAATACCACCTCAATTACAGTAGATATAGTATTGTAATAAACTGTTTAATGGGGCTGATGTGTAAAGCTGTTCAAGTTATTTGCTGTTTACACCTCAGGGAAAAGCTTGCTATGACAGTATATTCTTTCTTTTTACAAAACAGATTTTATTCCACAAACATTGAAGTCTTTAGAGATGCATTATTTGCTGCAATAGCATAGTTTTCCGTCTCATTTATTTATTTTTGCGAGATCAACACACCATTTTTAAACATTTTATTTCTTGTCCAATAGTTTGAATATGAAAAGTTATTTGGTTGTTTGTTCTGAAAAAAACAATATTACATTAATTTGAGGCCAGCCATAATTGTATCCTAATGGTTAACCATTCCTTTTGTTTTTGAATGTGTGTGAAAAATACATTGTTAGAATATTGCAATATAATGACATGTCACTATTGGTATTCCAAATTTGCCCTTAAAAAAAAAAAAAAAAAAAATGAAATTACCCCTCCCCCACTGTGAATCATGGGTGGTAGAGTTAAATTTCCTTTCTACACAAAATTATTTTTCTTTCTGTGAAAGATGTTATGTAAATTACCACAGCATTCTCATGGGGCTGTGTATGTTCACATGTTTCGAAGACCTTTGGTGGCATGGTCATTTTCAAACTGGTTGCTGTTATTCTTAGATTCTTCCATAAGTGGAAAAGGTTTTCCCTGCCGAATACACTGCGAGTAAAAAAAAAATAAAAAATTCTAATTGAAATGTTTTTTTACAATGTGTAGCAATCCAAGGAGTGTCCATTGCTTGTACATATGTGGGAACAGTACCATCGCTGTTTATTGTAACCAACTAACAAATGTCAT